CACGCGGTAGGTGGACGCGTTAAATATGACGGAGTGCGGTGGTTGGCCGACCAACGTGTGGTACCGCGGCGGACACCGAGGAGACGCGCGACGTGTCTTGGGGCCTGAAATGCATCCGCACGGACACGAAGCAGGCACATTTTGAATTTGGGTCGGCGCGTTGGGCCGGCGTTTTTGTCCGCGGCGACCCAAACGGACATGGACGGTCGAAATGGATCGCCCTGTTGGAGTTGCTCTTAGTATTTTATAGAGAAAATAGTTTGTTAGGGGTTGGGAAATAGTTAACTACTTCCTCCGTCTCAAAATATAAGAACATTTTTTACACTAGTATAATATCAAAAACGTTCTTATATTATGGACGGAGGGAGTAGTTTTTAGGGCCGGGAAATAATTAAAAAAATGACTGTATGAAAATAGTTAATTAGTTGGCCTGTGTAGCCCTGTGATGCATCATGTTTTTTTTTTTGAGGAAACTGTGATGCATCAGATGAACGGCTGGGCTGTTAAGATGGATTTTCGGCCAGGAGTGAGGCCCTTCTGGCCCATATCAATGCACAGGCTGGGCGTATGCCGTGCCCAGCGGCACGGTAGAGGAGCCGGTTCCCCTGCGCCACATGGCTCCGGCGGCCGCCACCATCGCCGTACTCGGCGACGACATCCTACAGGAGGTCTTCATCCTCCTCCCAACCCCCGCCGACCTCCTCCGCGCGGCCCTCGCCTGCCAGCCTTTCCTCCGGGTCGCCCGCAGCGAAGCCTTCCTCCGCCGCTTCCGCCACCGCCACCCCTCAACCTGCCCGGTCATCCTCGGATGCCTCCTCTACCGCCCCGGCAAGCGCCGCGGGGCCAGCGCCCCTTACCTTCTGCCCGCCGACCTCCTCCGCGCCACGCACCGCACCATCAAGGGAGGAGACTTCGCCCTCTCCTTCCTCCCCCGCCGCGGCCGGCCGGATGGCCCCGGCACCCCGTGGCGGCTCCTGGACTGCCGCAACGGCAGCCTCCTGTTGCGTAACGGGGCTTCCGGAGATCTCGCGGTCGCCGACCCGTTGACCCGGCGCTGGGTCTCGCTCCCCGCGCTCCCCGGTGGGCGCCGCGTAGGGTACGCCCTCGTCGCCGACGACGGCGACTCTTCGGCCCTCAAGGCGGTATGCATTTCCCGACGCGCTGGAACCACAGAGCTGCGCGCCTTTCTCCTCTCCTCCGCTGAGCTCCGGTGAGACGACGTGGGTGGCCTCGCGCAGCAGCCCAATCTCGCTGGATCCCGCGCGATGCAAGCGAAACGGTCGCTGTACTGGAAGCTAATGGGTGGGAGGCACATGCTGGCGCTCAACACCGCGACGATGGAGCTCACCGTGCTGGCGCTCCCGCCTTTCTTGCGGGAGCAGAGTTTCGACGTCATTGAGAAGGGGGAGGATGGCACCGGTAAGCTCTGTGTGCTCACTATGCGTGGATTATGCATTGAGGTTTGGAACGGTGAGGATGACGGCGCCGGTGGGCTGACATGGACACTGTTGGAAAAGTCGGTGAGATTCTATGGGGCGATGGAACCGATGATTCTTTCGGATCCTTTGGACCAGACTCCACAGGGCGAGGTCATCGGGGTGGCTGCTGGTGTGGTGTTCTTGCGCAGCGGCAGTTGTCTGCTCTCCATTCATCTTGAGACCATGAAGATGACGAGGCTGTCTCTGGACGTGAATTGCCCGTCTCCGCTGATATATCCTTACACGATAGCATGGCCGCCAGCGTTCTTGAACCCTACTGAACAAGGTGCTTGATAAGGTGATACACAGTTACAATATGCTGAATGTGTCCTGCAAGTTTTGATCAACAATGTGCTTAACTGCTTATACAGACATGTTTAAACCAAACAGTTCAGTTAACCTTCTGCCATTCAAAATTTTCTTTTTGTTTGCTTCTTGGGTGAATTCTTCTGATATGTCTGAATGCCCTGAATTTTCTGCAGGAATGTGAAGCTACATTTCAGCTTATGATGATTATGTGGCAGAGCTGTTATTGGAAAAGGATGTCATTTGATCATCCATATGAATTCTTGAGACATGATAGCCGCGAACCTGCTCTAGTTGTCCTTATATGTTTTAGCCTCGTATCATGTAATTAGTTGTGCTTGCAGTCTTAGTTGGTGTGTTGTGTTCTGCCACCATTATGTGTATGGTCACTCTATTGCCTGAGGTTATAATTTCGGAATATAGTATTTAGCATGCTTTTGTGACTGTTTCGCCAGAGCTTTTATATTGCTTGTATGATTATGATATATAGTGTGAATTTCTGTATCAGTTCATCCGGCTGCTCAATTTTGGTGCTTAACTTGAGGTTGTCGGGATACAATTCTGGCTGGGGTTAGGAGTCTGGCTCCTCTGGTACAGATGCGCGAATGCTGGATAGTCTACTTTTCTTCCAATGGCATGCTCAATGAAGAAACTGAAGACTGAAGAACTTGGCCTAATGTCACCAAGTGTTGTTATTACGGTGAAGTTTGATAAATTGTTTTATCTTTTGGTGTTGGTGTGTTTTTATTTATTTTTCACTTCTCTGAGGTGCGCCATGGATGGAGATAGCAGCATGACGGTCCAGGTTCATTTCTTCGGTTAATCTTAGTTGAAGGTTTTGCAGGCAAAAACGCATTGAGATTTCTGAGATAGGCTATGCTTGTCTTTCTATCATGTTCGAATATATTGGGTGAACAGTTCTGGTTCAGGTTTTTAGTTTGGTTTATCTGATGCAAATGCCAGTCTTACTGTGCATCCAAATTCCAAGGTCATGCCACAGGGAAGAAGCTGAAGCTCTTGCTGAAGTCTGGGTTGGAGGTTTTGTGGATAAATACACTGATTTCGCTATCCTTATTTGTGTACGCATCCGCTGAAATGATGGCTGTGCACATCTGATGCTCATCAAGGCGCAATATTTGTTAAAATTTCTGCTGATTTTCCGATGACAGGTGCCATTTCTCCCTTTGCCATCGCTGTTCTTCCCCTCTATCTTCTCGAATCTAATATGCGTGCACCACTCCGTTGTAACATCGTAGTAATAATAGAATTTGGTTGTTGAATATTGATCATTGCAAATAATTCTACTGAAGTATGAAAACAAGGAGAATTTGAATTGACAAAAAACAGTCCAATGAGAAAATGAATACATTTGTAAACGGGCTTAGGAAATCCTGAACTATGCGGCTTCCCCAATACTCTTGTATTGTGGATAATATATGAAACTACTTTTCATGATGGATCAAATGATATAAATTTTGCATTGTGGATATTGATATATTTTTCTAAAAACTTGGTCAAACATGCACTCATTTGACTTAAAAAAAATTGCACGGAACGGAGGGAGTATGTGATAATGCTCCCTGTAAACTTTGAAGAAGCTTTGGTTGGACAGAAAGTTATATTATATGAGTTCTTACCAAAATACAATAAAATGACCAACCAAAGACCAATTGAAATGATGAGTTTTCTTTTCGTGGATACTGAAATGACGGATTTATATCAGTAAATATCTTGCAAACTGGTAAATAATCTTACAATACTATGATGAAGGTGCTATAATTATCTCATAATTTGAAGACGAATAAACAATACGCTTGT